TTTTTTCATTTTATACGGTTAACTCTTTAATTTTTGCGATAACACTTAATTGAGCAAGAGAATTGAGCAAGGTAACGCAACTTTGTGGTAACGTTTTGTATATTATTTTGAAAGAGAATTAAATACTCATTACTTTAATTGGAAGAAAAAATGTCTTTGTGTGTGAATGAATTGTGATATAATAATTTCATTTAAGAGGAATTTAAACCATTTGGATTGAAATAGAAATATCCTTCAATAAGATATACGTACACTTAGGTTTCATTGTATAAAAATTAAAGATAGTATTATTTGGATTAAGTAAATAAAGAAATGGAATTTGGCGCCAGTTCTTGATATATCAAACCCTTTATAGGAATGATACATATCATTAAAGTCAATATTATTTATTTAATTTGGTATCCGAATTACATGGAATTTAACTTGGCGCCAATTGTTGATATCAAATCTTTTTTACGATCGATACATAAAATTTTGTGGAATTTAACTTGGCGCCAATTTTGTTGATATCAAATCTTTTATATGAATGATACATATTACTAGAGTTAAGTAATATATACAAAGAACCGGTTTCACCAACCCGATTAAACCGAATAAACCATAAGTGTCAACCATAAGTGGTCAATTTCACTAAACAGTAAACGCGATTAGTCAGTTCCATGGCGAATTAGGTAATTGGCGTTGGTGAAACCGGTCCAAATAATTTTTACGAAAAGCACGCACGCTTAGCGCTTTTTTTACCTTTTTTTAAAAAGGTGAGCTTGTATAAATAACAAGAAACAGTACCATTTGTATTTTACTTTTTATAGGATGTACGCGTGTAAAATATTTATTTAATTAATAAATAATGTATAGATGTTTCGATCCTACTGCGGATCCTTCTCAATATCACAATCATTTAAATTACTAAACAATTAGAAACACTGATAAATTACAAAAAAAAACTTTTTCGTCGAATGACTAGTCTAGTCGATTTATCATGTTATTTATGTATAATTATTATGTATAATTATTTATGTATATTTATTATGTATAGTTATTAATGTATAATTTAATATCTATTTTACTTGGTCGTTTAATTCAGTTTATTATTTGATACAGTCGATTTGGTAATCATTTTGAAAATGAGCTTGGACTGCACAATCATTTACGATGACACAATGCTTTACATGACACAGCCATATGTCGGGCTACGCCGCCCTGAACAAACTACAAATAACATATCCTAGCTGCTTGGGGCCTAATCGCTTAGAAGTTACAGCGTAGACAGTTAAGAATATTCCAAGCGGACACTACGTTTACACGGCACGCTTTACGCCGAAGTTATGACATCGATGTTATGAAACTGGCCAATCATAGCTGTTCCTCTGAAGAATGGAATGACTATGATTGGCCAGTTTCATAACATCGATGTCATAACTTCGGCGTAAAGCGTGCCGTGTAAACGTAGTGTCCGCTTGGAATATTCTTAACTCATGAAGCGGGGTCTACAATAGAAGTCGTAGCAGTCGTAAAGTCTTAAGTCGTAGAAAATTTATCAATCACAGGCTGTGTTCCAAAATTATTTGTCAGCGCTGCGAGCATGTCGTCATAAGTGTATGCTACCAATAGTGTTCCAATTTCATAAGCATGCTTTTCATGCAAACGCAGCTTTCATTTTGGAACGATATTTTCAGTGCTGTCAGCATATAGTGA